AGAGAGAGAGAGAGAGAGAGAGAGAGAGAGAGAGAGAGAACAGAGAGGGCGACTCTTCTCTGAGAAGCAGAGCTGGTGGCATACTCCAGCAGTGGCAGATTATAGGGTAGGGGCTGCTGTATAATTATTTCTCGTCTCCATCATTTTCAAAGATTTGAGACTGTACAGTTTAGTGTTACATGTCAATCAGAGCTTCCCTGTTAATCTGGAGTGATTGCATCTTCACTATATAAACCTCCACTTTGTGTAGTAGTTACTAGAGCGAAGCCCTCCTCAATCATCCTCCCAAGTGTGTGTTTCATCAGGTCTCTTACAGAGGCAGGGATCACAGGCTCCTCAAAATGTTCAGCGTTTGTTCAAAAAAGCCGGAATGTATGTTCACTCTGCCTGTAAGAGTCTTTTCAACCCTTGGTCAACCTCATAAATTTTAGCTCAAATTCCCCAACAAACTGACAACTTGCTACTGAGATTTTTATTTCAAATTCCACAGAGGAAGAATGTATTTGACTTGGCTCTGTTCACTTCTTTTTTCAAACACTCAAGTTGTAGTTTGTTAGTCAGCCTGTTCTTTGTCTGTTCTTGGGCTAGGGCCACTTTCCAAGCCACATGGCTGCTTTTTTGCAATTTAGACAAATGTGTCTCCTACAAATGAACACAGCTTCTCTGACCCATGGCTTGCGAAGCTAAGTATGGGCTGAATTGCATTTATTTACCTGTACCACCCCATTTGATGACTGAATCCCTGGCTAGTCATCTGAGGCGCAGAAAGTGTTGTGGATGGAGCTGGCAGGACTCGAGTGAGGACAGACGAAATTGAAGGAAGAGTTTGTGGCATGCTCGGCTCTTCTCTGTCATAAACAGCCGCTCAGGCAAACGGTTCAATGATGAGCTGTAAGTGTGATCCTGAAAGGCTAAGTCAGTGCTGGGGAGATGTCTCAGCAGTTAAAGGCACTTGTCGCTCTTGCAGAAGACTTGGGTTTGAGTCCCAGCACCCAAGTGGTGGCTTACAACCATTCATAACTCCAGTGCCAGGGGATCCAATGCCCTTACCCTCTTCTGATCAGGCACACACGTGGCATCAACATATATTCAGAGAAAGTATTAACACATATATTTTTTTAAAAAAAATTAAAGCTGTCTTTTCTCCAAATGCATAAAATCCAGTGTATTCAAGGATGTTCCTGAAATGATGTGTCATGTACAGGTTCGTCTGGAGTGGCCAACAGACCTTGCTGTCAACCCCATGGACAATTCCCTATACGTTCTTGAGAACAATGTCATCCTGCGAATCACCGAGAATCACCAGGTCAGCATCATCGCAGGACGGCCTATGCACTGCCAGGTTCCCGGCATTGACTACTCACTCAGTAAGCTTGCCATCCACTCTGCTCTGGAGTCAGCCAGCGCCATCGCCATTTCTCACACTGGCGTGCTCTACATCACTGAGACTGACGAGAAAAAGATCAACCGCCTACGCCAGGTCACCACCAATGGGGAAATCTGCCTCTTAGCCGGGGCAGCTTCTGACTGCGACTGCAAAAATGACGTCAATTGCATCTGCTATTCCGGAGATGATGCTTACGCCACAGATGCCATCTTGAACTCCCCATCCTCTTTAGCTGTGGCTCCAGACGGCACCATCTACATCGCAGACCTTGGGAATATTCGGATTAGGGCGGTCAGCAAAAACAAACCTGTTCTTAATGCATTCAACCAGTATGAGGCTGCGTCTCCGGGAGAGCAGGAACTGTACGTGTTCAACGCCGACGGTATCCATCAGTACACCGTGAGTCTGGTGACGGGGGAGTACTTGTACAATTTCACATACAGCGCTGACAATGACGTCACCGAGTTGATTGACAACAACGGAAATTCTCTAAAGATCCGCCGGGACAGCAGTGGCATGCCCCGCCACCTGCTCATGCCGGATAACCAGATCATCACCCTTACCGTGGGCACCAATGGAGGTCTCAAAGCCGTGTCCACACAGAACCTGGAGCTTGGCCTCATGACCTATGATGGGAACACTGGACTCCTAGCCACCAAGAGTGATGAAACTGGATGGACTACATTCTATGAGTGAGTAGGCTTTTGACCAATCTCTCTAGAGCCCTCCCCCTACTTGAGCTGGCACCCGCATGGACCATTCACGTTGCTTTTAAAATTGCGTAGTCACATCTTCCTACCTTTAATGATTTCTTAGAGCCTCAGGATATTCGTGTCCCTTCTCCTGACTCCTAAATGATTTGCTCTATCAGGCCTCTGATATTGAGCATCCTCCCTGCTAGCACTGGGAATTCCTGTTGTCTGCTTGCCGCTCAAACTTCAGGATATTGGACACGCACAGCACCTGGGAGATAAAGTGCTGATTAACCCCACTGATTATTCATGTTTGCCATGGGTGCGGAAATTAGAAAGTAAGAGGCAGGGTCCCAGCGGGGCTCCTGTGATTTAACAATAGGTCCAGCAACACACTTGATTGCACAGACAGGTAGATAAACTCTGAATTTCCTCCTTAGCAGAAGCAGATCAATACAGATAAAGTGCTAGGTATATTAAAAGATGTGAGAGCTGGTCATATTTCCCCTAACAATTATCTCATACTTAATAGTTCTACCGTTTGTTTGGCCAAAAAGCTGTTTCCCTAGCTCCTGAAGCAGCTTTGGTCAAGCAATCCTGCTACTGGCTGGAGGAGGCTGCTAAGCCTGAGTCCCCAGTGACCTGCTGGAGACTGAATGGAATTTACCAGCCTCTGGGCTCTCTCCACAGCAGTGAGGGAGCGAGCATCATCGGTTAGGAACCCTTGCTTGCTTCCTGTCTCTGTGTTGCTGCTGGCTGAAAATTTAGTAAGTTAGGGAGGGGATGCCACGGAGAGATCGGGGTAGGAGGGACAAGAGAAAGAAGACTTAATAATCGTTGATCACGCTTAAATCAACAATGTTTGCTTCCTGTTTGGACGCCAGTGGGTTTGGGAGAATGCAAAGGATGCTGTCGCCACCTGCTGGAGTTTTACTGCATTGCAGAATTCCTTGCCCGGGTCCTGACTTCCCCTTTGAGTCAAAGCTCTCTGTTTCCAACTTCTAAGCAGCTTCACATCCTTCAAGGTGCTTGGACTTGATCACATTTTACCAGCCACAGCACACAGTAGTTGTTAAGTCTCCTGAATAAGAAGCTAAGGCTGGGGTCAAGGAGGCCCTCCTAAATTAGCCCTCCGCTGGAGTTTGGTTCCCAAGTTCAGTTGCAGGGGTCCCACAGACATGAACTCTTGATTGGAGGCAGTTTGCCAGCAAAGGCCCCCAGGCAAATGAAAACATACACGAGATTCTCATTTTTTTAAGTGTGTTTGTTCTGGAATTATGATGAAGCTGAATCAGGTTTTCTCTTTTAATTTGATACCCTTCTGGATGTCAGTAGATCCCAGGATCCAAATCCCCCATTGTGGAGACTCACATGGATAAGGTTTCCTTAGGCTTTCTAAAAAGATGGGGCATTCTTGTTTATTTGCTTGTAGTGTTTTAGCTTTTGTTACACATGGTCAGAAGATTGCCACTTTAAAACTCAGACATAAGCCACACCTCATGTCAGGGGTACTGGGTCCAGGTGAACACCACACAGTGATTGCAGAAGTCTAACATAAATGGGGAAAAAGCACACAGGTGGTGTGTGCTTCAAAAGAGCTTTCCCTCAGTTCTAGAAAGTTCCAGGAAGCCCCAGCCTTGGAATTATGAGTTCCCCAGTTGCAAGCTATAGAGTCCTGATAGAGTATCATTGGCAAGGTCCACCTTTACAGGGAACAGCAGATTCCACGGCCTTCCACAGGGGAAAGCATGTCTTACCAGGAAGTTCCTGGGCCTTAGCTTCAGAAAGGCAGTGGTATGGATGCCAGCTCTGACACGTACTTCCTGGTTGACATTGGACAAGTTCCTCAACCTCTCTGGGCCTCGTTGTTCACATGTATCACATGGTATTATCATCTGCATGGGAGCTGTGATCATTCATTGAGCTAGAATAGCTTTAGAAATCAAGGCTGGCAATCAGAAGCTCAACAGAAACTAGATGCTAACAGGGAAGTAATAGAGCACACCTATGTACCCATCCCCTCCTGAATAAAGAAGGATGCAAGCATTAGACAGGGACTTAATTTCAAACAGTAGAATTGAGGGGTGCAGTTTGCACTTCAAGTCTTCTTAGTGCTTTGGTTTGTGTCCTGCTCTCTCATCCTCAGTACTGTGAGTCAGCAAACTGAAGTCCAGAGGAGTAGAAAATATAACTAACTCCCCTTAAGGTCAGGCCACCAGAAGAGAGGAGCTCTGCAGCTATGGTCAAGTCCTCCTCCAAATCCAGCCAGTGGGAAAACAGCAGGTGACACAGTCTAGATGCTGACTTCCCTTGGAATGAAGTTCAGCAGCTATATTACAGAAAGAGCAGGCTCTGCACTCTCCCAAGCTGGGATGAGCCCTCTGGAGACAGTTACATGTCTGTCTTAGAAGGTGGCTTTTGGAGATCCAGTCGAAATGGACATGTAAGAATTGGGCTTTGGAAATTACCCCCCACCCCTGCTGCCATGCTCCCAGAGTAGGGGAGAGAAGCCTTGCTTTGTCTTTGCCTTTTTATCTGGCATGAGGCATGGTATTTTGTCCATTTTGTTCTCATCCAAGTCTCTAGTGCTTTGACCAGCTGCTAACACACAAGAGATGTTTGATGAACATCTACTGATTATGTGCAAGTCAAAGGCCCTGTGGCCACCAAGGTCCTACCAAGTCTGTCAGGTTAACACCGAGGTTCCATTGCTGGTAATCACTGCTCTTGCTCCTGAGAGCAGAGAGGTTTCTGCACAGAGAGCTGAATCTGCAAATCTATCCTGAGGAAACCAGCAAAACTGTGAGCAGCTGCATCCCCCAGGAAAGTCAGTCTGCAAGTGAGAGAACATGCTTTCTCCCCAAAGCCTGTAAAATGCCTGCCCTGTCCTCACTGCCTTCCCCAGAGAAGAAACTCTGTATCCCCCTCTCACAAGGATGGACAGCAGCCTGCCCATTGCAAGTGTCCTAAAATACCGAGCACTGAAATTCAAATCCTGCTCAGGTCCCAGAGAACATGCTCAACACAGTCCCTGTGTGGTGGACCTCTGCTGCCGAGTCTAGGCAAGACACTCAAAGCCCAAACATTATCATTGCTTCCTTCCTTATTTTAAAATAGCCTTCTGCTCCTAAAATATAAAAGGAAGCATCAATTACTAAAATGTGGGAATATTCAAAGAAGGAAACAAAAATGAGTCAAAATCCCACACAGGAAAAACGCCGTTAATATTTATACATCTCTGTTTTCAGAAATTCTGATCTACATGTAAAAAGTCATGTGCTAGGGAGTATTCTCTGTTCTCCACTTTTCCACTCAAGTCTGTTTCTGTGTGTGTGCTTGTGCACACATGCCCATGCACCAATAAATAGGAATCCACGCTGTTCATTTTGACAGCTGCCTAGGTTTCTGTCTTATATATAGGTAATTATTTAATAATCCTTAATCGCTGATCCTTCTGTATAGTTCTAACTTGCCACTATTATAAATAAACTCTTTGGGCACCCTTCTGAGAAACCATTGCTTTGGTAGGAAAAAAGAAAAACAGAGGGATCCCCTTTGGCCTAAAAGGCCTGGGTCCCCTCCATGATTTCAACATGAAACCTCTGAGGGGAAGGTGCTGTCTGGATTTCCACTGCACAATGCCCTAGGCAAGGGGTAGGACAGAAACAAGAGGCTGGACCTCCACCTGGCTAAGCTTCCTGTCCCTCTCACCACCTTTACCCCACTGGACTTGCAGCTTAGCATACACGGAGCTTGACTGTTTCCTCTTCTCCCTAAAGGTAACAGTTCCCAAGTCACTCCAAATCTGATCCAGGTCTCCATCCCAAGTATCCTAGCTCCCTCCACGTTTTATCAGTATTTTTTCCCACTGCTCCTCCATGGGCTGCTCCATGGATAACCTCCTTTGCACATACTGTACCAGCTCTGGGACCCATCACTCAAAACCTACCAACTGGGGACCTCTCCCCAGTCCAGAAGGAGCCCCTCCTCTAGCTGGAGGCCTAGCTCTGTGTCCTATTTCATCCTCTAAGCAAAGGCCTCATTGTTTCCTCCTCCTCCCCATCTCTCCTAAGTGTGAGAGCCCATGTGCAAGAGTTCAGAGGCTTTGATAAGCATACCATAGGAAGAGCCATCTCCTCACCTCCTTAGACAGGAGCCTCTAACAGTACAGTGGTCTTCTATGGAGGGGAAATACTTTCCTCCAGGAAGTAGCAAAACCAGAATTGAGAAAGGGGTGAAGACAACTCTTATCATAAAGGATTCTCTTCAGGGAGTTTGCAGGCCGCAAATGTAATCCTGGCCGGTCCAGACATGGATGTCGAGGACAACTGAGATCCAGTGAGTCTCCCAGCAGGCTAGGGAATCTGAGCTTGATTTGTTAAGGACTACATGACCAAGCTAGGTTTGTAGTGCTTGGGCCAGAATATGGAGATGGCAGTTTGTCCCAGGCTGACTTTGAGAGGTCCACAAGGTGATGAGTGGAATGAGGTGGTTGGTACCTTGCATAAGACTAAGACTCAGATAATCTCAAATGCCAGATTTTGACTGGATTGAGTGAACAACCAGTGGGGAAAAACAGTGTGGCTTAAGGGCTGGAGAAATAGCTGGGTAATTGAGAGCACTCCCTGTTCTTCTAGAGCACTTGAGTCCAGTTCCCAGCATCCACATTGGGCAGCCTGTAACTCCAGCTCTCTTCTAGTTTTCATGGCATGAGTGCACACAACCCCATCACACACACACACACACACGCACACACACACACACACACACGCACGCACACACAGTTAATACACACACACACACACACACACACACTTAAATAAAGGTTTGCTCAGCAGAGAGAAGACAAAATGAAGTGGATACTTGAGGAGCATTGACTTGGTAGCTCTGTGGATCACAGAAAGCAAAGGATGCTTACAAGTAGCTATTCCCACTATCTCAGGAATGATTAAGAACACACTGCTTGAGATTAAAGGTGTGGTTTCCACTGAGGTGAAATCGGTGATCTCAAAGGGCTCAGGAAAGCCACAGCATTATTCCTCAGGACAGGTCAAGGTTTGGGTTATAGCAGGGTTTCAGTGTAGAGCACCATCCAGTGAACCCTATGGGTCTGGCCTTCCTGTGGATCTGAATGTCAAGAAAACTTCTGGCTCCACAGGCTGTGCTTCCAACTAGTATCATTTCTTTCCTCTAGCTATGACCATGAGGGCCGGCTGACCAATGTGACACGCCCCACGGGGGTGGTGACCAGTTTGCACCGGGAAATGGAGAAATCCATCACCATTGACATTGAGAACTCCAACCGTGATGACGATGTCACTGTGATCACCAACCTCTCTTCAGTGGAGGCCTCCTACACAGTGGTGCAAGGTAAGGCCCCAGACCAACACTCCTCTGCCCTGAGCTCATCCCCACCTGCAGAGCCAGCGATCCCTCACCTAAGAGAAATTCTAGATATTCCTCTGCTTCCTGTCTTACTCAAATACCTACAGCAAACCCACTCTACCAGAAAACGGTCTCAGAGGAAAAAAAAATAATAAAGTAAAAATAAATCTCTCAGATTCAGGGGAATGTCATACCCTCTCACCAAAGGTTTAATTATCTGGAGAAACCTACATTTCTAAAAAACATCTGGTTTTTCCCCAACTACTTTCTTACCTATTTCCTCCCCCCTCTGAAAACCCAACCCCTGTCATTATTTCCGCAAGAACTGTCTATTCTCCAGGCTACCACTGGATTTGGGTTTCATCGTCCCATTCTGACTCTCTCTCTTGCAAATGTGCTCTTGAGCAATCTCTTGCCAGGACCCAGATCCCCAAGGTCTCTGACCACCCGTTGATTTTGTTGTATGCAGTCCAGGGCAAGCACGGGGGCTGGCAAGAAACAGCATTTTACAGATTAATTTTTTCCTTTAATTAAGATATAATGTCGGTGGGCTCGCCAGTTGTCAGAGGATAAAAGTGTCCTCTCGGTAGATAAATGATGACATTTCTAGACTATTATCCCTCGGCAGAGCCTGTTTCAATGGCTCTATTTCTGCTCTGCCAGATGATTAACGATGTAGATTCTGTCCTTCTGTATGATGGCCGGAGTCACTGAGTGACAGGGACAACCTTGCTCATTACCCCAAAGCTGGCATATCAGAGGCATGCCCAGCCTGCCTCCTCCACCAGATGATGAGGAAACAGTGTGCCTATAAAAGCAGGCTCAAGCATGTGATTCTTTGATACAGGGAAAGGTCAGAAGTCTGATTGACTGGTGTAGATTCTATTCGGGAAGATAAACACACATTATCAGCCCCCACTGACTCCATCTACCTCACACTGTGTGTGTTTCCCAAGCTCTTTGGTAACATAGTGATACAGGCAGCAATGATGCCATGAAGAGAGTGAAGGTAGCTTTTTCTCTTCACTGTACTGATGAACACTGGACTTGCCTTGCAGTGCCTCTGACCCGTGGATAGACCATCAACCTCGGGTTAGACGATAGGCCAAAGGGGAGGAAAAATTGAAGTAGTTTGCCTTTCATTTATTTTTTTCTCATATAAGCTAAAATATATATGTTAAAGTTCAGGGATTTGATTGACACAAATTGTGTAGGCAATAGACATCTTTAAATGTTTAAATGTGCTATTAATAGTCTTCAGTGAGTAAAAGAAAAATATCATGGCATAATTATTTCTGGAGTGCCACATATTAATAATGTTTTCCTTCCCATGGATCAGTAACATCTCTGCTACTCACCTTCCCATTGTGTGTGTGCTAATTGAAGGCAGCCTCAGACTGACAGCTGCAAAGTACCATGGAAACCTGTAAAAAATAGGGGTTCTATTCTCGCCTGACTAATCGAGTGGATAATTTCTCTCCCCATCCCCACCCCCCACTAATATTCTTCCAGATCAAGTGCGAAACAGCTACCAACTCTGCAATAATGGAACCCTGCGGGTAATGTATGCCAACGGCATGGGCGTCAGCTTCCACAGTGAGCCCCACGTCCTGGCAGGCACCATCACCCCCACCATTGGGCGCTGCAACATCTCACTGCCCATGGAGAATGGCCTAAACTCCATCGAGTGGCGTCTGAGGAAGGAACAGATTAAAGGCAAAGTCACCATCTTTGGGAGGAAGCTTCGGGTAAGCAGATCAGTTCTTCTCCTACCACAGTCTTGGAGGGGACAGGCCTCTGCCTCACAATGAAGAGGGGAATGTTGATGCCTTTCCACTTTCAGAAGGTGGGAGACGTATTCCTCTGGGTTAAAGGAAAATCCCTCCATTTCCTGAAGCAGATGGGCAGATTCACAGGGTGCCTCAGCTGGAGAAGGCGTTGGTCTTCATTGTGCACCTGACATCTCCCCCTTCAGCTGTCACTATCTGGACAATGCAACACATGAGTCAGGGCTGGTGCCTACCATGTGCTTGGTAATCTTCTAAATACTGGAACAACAAAAGTATAAAGTGTGTTATTTGCAGCCAAGGAGCCGTGTTCTTCTGGAAATGCAGACACAGGATGATCACGGGGTGTGTGAAGACAGATCCCTTGGGGATACTGTGTGGTTACACAGGAAGATATCTACTAGCCTGGGAATCAGAGATATATCCCAAGAGGAAGTAACAAAAAAAAAATGTGCAACAGGAAGTTTTGATCAGCCCTAAGTTACAACTTTGGAAAGCTAACAAAAACACATTTGTTGAGGACATCCATACCAAAGCCAAATGAAACACACTCACTGCACTATGCTATGGGCAGTAAGTTAAATGCTTTATTTGTGTTACTGTGATATTTTCAATAGCCTTTGGGATCCCAGGTGAGAAGCAGAGATTCAAGGAAGCTAATTAGATGTCAGGACATAATAGCTAAAATTCAAGGCTACTTGACCCTGGGTCCTTCTCTCTGTCTTGTTCACTGGCTAGTATTCTTAGCCTCAGTCCCAGACATCTTCCTTTTTAGATGATCAGAGCACTGTGGATCCTCTCCCTTTCAGTTCTTTTCACACAGAGGGACCTATTCCTACCATGGTGACAACCCTTCTCCCGGGTTGATGAGATGACGGCCAGAAACTGTCTTCATCATATATGAAGCATGTTTACTGAGCTCTTAGCGCCAGGCCCTGTGCTGGACAGTCAGGTAGATGTCACACAGCAGAGCTCTGGCCTCCCTGCCACTTCATCCAGGGCAAGGGGGATGAAAGAGGAGACAGCCAAGAAGTAGACTAATAAAGACTTGTGATGATTGCAGGTCAAGACAGGCCCTAGGAAAACAGTCAGCCACAGAGGAAGGCAAAGTCAAAACAATGCTCTAAATCCCTTCCAGTACAAGACTGAGTGCCTGCAAAACTTGGGCCATAACTTCCGAAGCCCAGCCAGCCAGGTGACCTCCCCGCAGAGCCAGGCCACTGCATATTAAGATTCTGCCTTTGTCTGGCTAGAGTTTAATTCTCCACATTAGGTTATCAGCAGACTTCCATGTTTTTCTTCCTCTGCTGATATCTGCAAAGTTGCAAGCTGCAGTATCTTCCTAAAGACAAAAAATGGAATGAGATTAGTGGCTAAATCCTTAATGACTGGATTCAGGGCTGTGTAATTGATTTTTGATATGCTGCACTGTAGAAGTTGATTATAAGTAGTAATCGGGCCTCTTCCTTGATAAATTAGTTATGCGTTTTGACTAAGTTTTCAAAATAAAGATAAATGTGGCCCTAAAATAAAATGGCAATAATCCCAACTCTGAATATTAAAATTCTTAATAATGGTACTTGTGGTAATTAACAGAAGTTAGGCACACAACTTTTATAACTGAATTTCTGCCAGGGTTAGACTTGCTGGCATCATGTTTATGCAAATCAAAACACAGTTTTATCTATCAACACCTCAACATTTAATTGTCTGGTGTTCGTTCCTGTAACAATAATCACATATCCATTTAGCTCTCTTAAATGAAAATCACTATGAGATTATAACAGGTTGAGTGGACTGAAAATGTAATTTGAAAATGAGGGAGAAAGCCTGGAATTTATTTGCATCTCATTTATTTTAATTCAGTTCATAAACTGTTTAGTGAATGAAATAAAAGAAACTCCTGGAAATTGCAAGGGGAGCCGTTGGAAGAAAGGTGTGGGGGAGGTGCTGAGCGCAGTGTGGATTCGGGGATTTTGGTATGGCCTTCCCTACTTGTGCTTCCCTCCCTTATGGGAACTTTGTAACCCTTAAACTAGCGACCTCTGTCGGCACCCATGGCAAGCAGGCCATCTCAGTCCATAGTGATCGGGACTTCTCTCTTTAGGGTTGGCCTTGCCATGTATCACTTTTCACTTCCTTTCTGTCTGTCATCCCATGGAGCCAAGCATCTTTCATCCATTCAGGGAAGAGTTCACTGACTGCCCGGGTCTCTGTTAGAGAAAAAGAAAGCAGAGTCCTTCTACCAAGGGAGCTTGAGGTCTAGTGAAGAAGATGTTGCAAGTGACACAATGTTAAGCCAGTACCACGAGGATAGGGGCACACACTGTGTCCGCCAGAAGCAAGTAACAAATAGGCCCTGAAGTTTCAGGAACTTAACCCATCACAATCCACATGAGCCACACACACAGCAACTGTTAATGATGACTAGACCCAGTTAACTCCATGTTGGGATCCTACCACATCAAGCACCCAGGGCCCTGAAGGCTGCTACAGAAGAAGAAGGGCTTAAAAGTTCAAGAGAGCCTGGTGAACTGGCCTGAATTTCACATGCATCCACTTCACACACCCAGGAGATGACAGTTGGGTTAACCCTGAGGAAGCTTGGAAAATGACTTTTCTGATTGCCAGGGAGAAACCAAAAGATTTGGGGAACCCAAATCAGGTCAAAGGATTGACAATAGACCAGGGAGGGTTTCCGGGAGTCAGAGTCAGTTCTGAGGAGCATCAGGAATTAGCCAGGAAGAGATACGGGAAAGAATTTTCCAGACAGAGAGAAACCCAGGATACAGGGACATTGGGGGGGGGGTGTCAGTTCAGAAACCCTCCAAAACTCATGAGACCTGAGAGAAAGTAGCCAGAACCACATGGAAGGGAATATTATACTAGGCCGGTATTTATCCTGAGAGCCATGGAGAGTTGTCCCAGGGCTTAATTAGCAGGGTGATGTGTGGGGATGTGTGGATTAGAAAGATCTCTCCAGCTTCCCTGGGTGCAGAGGAAGACAGACCAGACAGGAGAGGAGGAGGCCAGACAGGAGGAGAGGGACAGCTCAGAGCTGTTACAGTAATGCAAACTAGAAGCTGGTCTCCAGCAGGGGGGAAAGAGAGAGAAGAGGAGAGGCCTGAGAGAATTGCAACACACATGATTAATAGGATTTGGCAGCAAGCCTGGCTGCCGTGCAGTACTGACTTCCAAGAGGCCTTTCACGTGATCATGTAGACCAGGAAGGCTGTGCCAGACTCTGAGCATGATGGAGAGAGGCCAGACACTGAAAGCCAGAACAGGTGTTGGGGGCAGTGTGACCCCAGCACTGCCTTCTAGGATGAGGAGACCAGGAAGGAAGTTAAATTTGTGGCCAGTCTCAGCCATGGCATAGATGGTTCCCCAGGTACAGAATCTGGAGTGAGTCTAGGGAGCTAGGGTAACAACTGGCAATGTCACAGGCTAAACCAGAGGTCAGACCTGACCTCTCCCCAGGACCAGCCAACTCCTACAAGTCTGATCACTTGGGGTGTGAGGCCGGGCTCTGAGTGGCCCAGTTTTGAGAGGTGTCTGAAATTTCCCAGTGAAAAACTTTCCTGTAACAGAACAGTCCATGAAGTCCTAACCCTGCCTTGTGACCTGTCTTGTCACAGTCCTCCAATCAGAGATAAGTCTTAGACAATGAAAGTGCCAAACATGCTTCCTTTTAGACTGGGAATATGTAAGATGACAATGCTGTAGACAGAATTTGAAGGCTTGGCCCCATGTTTCCTGCCCAGGGTCAGGCCAGGCAAGAGTTTCATCATGCCCCCCAAAGACCTGTCTCTTGAAAGAGTTCCTCCTGTTGCTTTCTTCCACACCTCTCACTATCCTCTCTGGCATTCCAAAAAAAAAAAAACAACTACTTCCCGGTCTCTCCCAGCTCCATGGTTGCAGGGACCATGTCACATTACCATACTGGTGACAAGAGTCTTGTGGGAAGATGTGATAAATACATCATCTTTAGGCTCTACTTTGAAGATGTTTACCAAGTAAATTCTCCCCTACCCCAAGAAGGTGGATGTTGGAAGCACTTGCCCCCCACCCCATTTGTCCAGAATCTTTCTCTACAAAACATATTCAAGATGTCATGATAAAAGGGGGAATGCATTGTCTTCCACAGTGGGCCTCCGTGTCACTGGGTTAACATTGCTCTCTTCTCTTTCCCCAAGAGGGAAGCCCCCTTCCCTCTCCCCAAGAGTATTTATTTTGGCAGCTGGCCTAATTTTCTTGTGCAGTAGGCCGGTGCTCTCTTCACATAAGGGGTCAAGAAGACTTGGCCAAAGTCTTACATCAGACTTTACTTACAGCTTAGTAAAACCAGAGACAGAATCTCTGAGTTAAAAAAAAAAAAAAAAAAAAAACAGTTCCATGGAGGAACTGTGATTGCCCTGGCATGGTAGAGTTCACATCTCTGCTCCAGTCACTGACTAGGGAGCTGAAAACCTGTGATTGGCCAAGTTTAGGTCACATGTTCAAACCTGACTCTTGTAAGGGAGTCATATAGGCTGAAGAAGGTTTGGAAAAAGAGGGTCCTGAACTACACTAAAAGGAAAGGATGCTAAGCTAGGAAAAATAAACTATTCTGTTCTCCATCCCTCCAGAGTCTGGCCACAAAGCACGCCAGAAGCCCATATCCTCTGCCCAATAAGTTTCTCCTAAGCTTCTGGGAGAGGGGAAGTGAAATGAACACTTCCGTTACCATTTAAAACCTCTTCTCTTTCCTAGCACGGATTTGTACCTGATTCTCTCTTTAAAAAAAAAAAAAAAAAAATGAGGGCATATGTTACTAGGGTGTTTCTTCTTGATTGTGATTTACACAGAGATTGCAAATGCAAGAAATAGCTACATGGATAGGTATTAGAACAAAAGAAAAATTGCTTCCAAGATAATCTTCCATTGTGGTGCTGGTATCGGTGTCATCAGCATTCCAGTGT